ACTCCAGTAGTCAATTACATGCCAGGGAGACAGAAAAGTGGGTGAAGAATTTATCTGACAGACAGCTCACCCAGCCAGAGACAGAGATTCTTGCCAGGGGACTGAACTTTGCAGTTGCACCAAGTAGAATTCCTCTGGTGGAGATGATCACAGCTACTGAGTCAGCCATCCGCAACAACAAAATTAAAGAGGCTGAAGCAGAACAGCTCAGAATCAAAGTTTCAGCCTGCCTCAGCAATGCCAAACCACCACCTTCCAACATCAGTAGAGAGGAGAGGGATGCACTCACCACTCTTAGCAAGGACAAAAACATCATCATTCTCCCAGCAGACAAAGGAAGGTGCACAGTGATTTTGAACCAGAAAGACTATCATGAGAAAGTTATGACACTCCTTAGTGACTTAAACACTTATGAACCTCTGAAAAGAGATCTAGGAAGTGGTTACAAGAAAAAGTTAATAGATTGCCTGAAAATTTTGGAGCAGGACAAGGCTATTGACCGTTTTCTGTACCACAGATTGTACCCAGGGGAGGCCACACCTAGTCTGTATGGTTTACCTAAAATCCACAAACAAGGTGTACCTTTAAGACCAATTGTTAGTATGATTAACTCTGTCACTTACAATGTTTCCAAATATCTGGCATCTGTACTCATCCCGTTAGTTGGCAGTTCAGAACCCCACATACAGAACACCATGGACTTTGTGGATAAGGTGAGGGATGTCCTCATGGAGACTGATGAAACAATGGTCTCTTTTGATGTCACATCACTCTTTACGTGCATTCCTGTTGATGATGCAGTAGAGGTGGTCAGTTTAAGATTAAAATCAGACACCACTCTGAGCAGCAGGACCACGCTTTCCACAGAACAACTGTGTCAACTCTTGAAACTGTGCCTGCAGTCAACCTACTTCACATATGGGGAGCAATATTATAGGCAGAAACATGGGTGTGCTATGGGGTCTCCAGTTTCTCCTATTGTTGCCAACCTGTACATGGAGGAGGTAGAAAAGAGAGCCTTGACATCCTTTTCAGGGACACCACCAAGTCATTGGTTCAGGTATGTTGACGACACCTGGGTTAAAATCAAATCTCAGGAAGTCCAACATTTTACTGACCACATCAACTCTGTGGATGAATACATCAAGTTCATACGAGAAGATGTAAAAAATGGCAGGTTGGCTTTCTTGGACTGTGAGGTCTCAGTCTCTGATAGAGGACATTTGCAAACTGAGGTGTACCGTAAACCCACCCACACAGACCAGTATTTGCAGTTTGACTCCCATCACCCTTTGGAGCACAAGTTAGGAGTCATCAGGACTCTGTATCACAGAGCAGACAGCGTCCCCACTAGTTCAGGAGCCAGGCAGAAGGAGAAATCCCACACAAGACAGGCTCTAGAGCAATGTGGATATCCTAACTGGGCCTTCCTGAAAGCAGAGAAGAAACCCAAACAGGACTCCAGTCAGCCAACAGGTGAAAAGGAGGAACCCAGACCCAGACCAGTGGTCATTCCATATGTTGAGGGAGTATCAGAGAAACTAAGACGTTTACTTTCTAAACATAACGTCCCAGTGGCTTTTAAACCCCAAAATACATTACGGCAAAGACTGGTTCATCCCAAAGATCCAGTCCCCCGGCACAAACAGTAATGTTGTGTATGCTGTTCAGTGTCAGGAGGGCTGTGATCAGTCTTTCATCGGGGAAACTAAACAGCCACTGGCCAAAAGGATGGCCCAGCACAGAAGATCAACATCATCAGGCCAGGACTCTGCGGTCTACACTCATCTCCAGGCTAGCGGTCACTCTTTCAGGGATGAAGATGTTCACATCCTGGACAGAGTGGAACGATGGTTTGAGAGAGGAGTAAAGGAGGCCATCTTTGTGAAAAGAAATCGTCCATTGTTAAACAGGGGTGGAGGCCTACGTGTTCAACTGTCCCCCTCTTCCAATGCTGTGATTGCTAGTATCACTCAGCCCTCTGTGAACAGTAAACAGCCATCAGTGTGCTAATGATCCATTGTTAGGCTGATGGTCCTTCTTGAGCATGTGATCAGCTGGTTTTGGTTGTCAGCAGCAAAACTGGTTGATCCACTCTGAGACGGTGCTATTTAAGAGACTGAGCTGAATACAGCTCCTCAGATGAGGAAGTCTCTCGGATGAGAGACGAAACGTTTCTACATTTTTTTGTTGATTTGCTTTGTTTTGTTTTTTTTTTGTTTTTTTTTTGAATGTCCAGAGGACCAGATTTAACTTTTTTAGATTAACTAGGGGAAACACTACAGATGTCTCTTTGTTATTCTCCAGACCCTGGGTGACAATTAGGTGAAACGGTACTTGTGACCACAAGCTTTATTTATGCTTCTTTTCCATTAATACTATTGCTACAGGTACAGCACGGTTCGACTCGGCTCGGCACGGTATGAGTTGTGTTTTTATTATACTTTCGGTAACGGTTCTAGTAAGCGAGTTCAGCTCTGAGCCCGTCGGAGTGCGCGAGTCTGGGGCTTGGGTGGGCCCCATCCTCACGCGTTCCTGCAGGTCGACAGCACAGAGGATCCTCCAGCGGAGCTCAGAGCCGGGGAGATGATGCCCTGCCCGGCCTGAGGGGGCTGGTGGAGAGGACCAGGGGGACCGGCGAAGCTCAATCTAGCTCGCTCTGAATTTTTGTCATCTGCCACCAAGCACAAAAAACCTGCACTTCAGCATTAGACCACGGTGTTGTCATTATTGTTTTTAAAATTTTTAACATAGGTCCAGTCGCTCCTCGAGTTTGTTTTATTGCAACTGGCAGATTGGGTTGTTGTGAAAGTTTCTCAAACAACCAGTGACTCCACCCCCAGACCAATCAGTGACTGACAGTGTTCTGACGTCACATTTTAGGGCCAGTTTGGCATGGTTGGAACCCCAGAGAAATGGGTACTAAAAAAGGGACTGGTTCCACGAACCGTTACTAGCGGAAAAGTCTTGGAACCATGCCGAGTTGAGTCGAACCGTGCTGTACCGTTACTAATGGAAAAGGGGCATTAGTGAAGTAAAAATTGTTTCATTTCATTTATTTATTTCTATAGTGCTTTATACAACCACGGTGATGGTAACCAAAGTGCTTAACAAAAACATTAATTAAAATGACAACAAGTTAAAAGCAAGAAAAATACAACAAAATAACAAAAAGAGAACCAGAAATGTCAACACATTTTTAAGTACTAAAAGCCTGTTGGAATAAAAAAATCTTAAACTTCGATTTAAAAGGGCCAAGTTCAGTAATCTGACGTAGATTAAGTGGGAGTTTATTCCAGAGTCGAGGTGCGGCCACAGAAAAGGCACGGTCACCCCAGAGTTTATATTTTGTCCTTGGAATAGAGAGCAGGAGCTGTCTGACCTCAGAGACCTGGAGCGGGTGGGGAAACTTTACAACTCTGTTATATAAGGAGGAGCAAGGCCATTCAGAGCTTTAAAAACAAATAATAAAAGTTTAAAATCTATTATAAAACGGACAGGAAGCCAGTGTAGTGTCTATGTAATGTTTGTATGCTATTAGTGCTTAGTGTATTATTTAGTTGACGTTTTTATTATTTCATATTTTAGATGTTATTACAGTTTTTCTTTGACATTTTATTGTTGGATATAACTGGGACCCTGTGTACATAAATTTGTTCCACTACATGTACCACATGGGGCGCGAATGACAAATAAGATCGTTGAATCTTGAATCCTTGAATGTAGTGAGAGTAAAACATGTGCGATGTGGTCCCGTCTAGGAGTGTTGGTTAAAAGGTGAGCTGCTGCATTTTGTACAAGCTGGAGGCTCAGTGATGACTGAGGTACACCGACAGACAGAGCGTTACAATAATCGAGCCTAGAGCTGATAAAAGCATGAACAGTCTTCTCCAAGTTGCAACGGTTTAAAAAGGGTTTGACCTTTTTTTAAATGGCATAAATAAAAAAATCCAGACCGGACAACAGAGGTGATATGTTTGTCAAAGTGTAAAGCCTTATCAAAGGTCACCCCAAGGTTTTTCACACAGTCACTGAAGTTAATGTTCAAATTTCCCAGGTCAGTTGTATCTTTGTCACAAAATAAAATCCATTCTGTTTTATTGTCATTTAAAAACAGGAAGTTCTTGTTTAGCCAATGTTTGATTGCAGAGATGCAGTCAAAGAGAGAAAGCATTGAGTTACTGGATCCTGGCCTTAATGGTAAATGGACTGTACTTATATAGCGCCTTTCTATCTTATTTCAAGTTTAATGGTAATTAGATTTGCAAATCATCTGCATACATATTAAATTTAACATTGTGGTGGCTTATAATAGATCCAAGTGGCAACTTGTACAAGGAGAAGAGCAGAGGGCCCAAAATGGAACCCTGGGGCACCCCACACAGAAGAGGGGCTGTAGAGGAAGAGAAGCCATTGAGCAAGACAGAGAAGGTTCTCTCAGATAAATAAGATGTGAACCACTTCAGAGCCGTACCACGAATCCCAACAAAATCATGGAGGCAAGACAGAAGGACAGAGTGGTCCACAGTGTCAAAGGTCACTGTAAGGTTGAGAAGCACCAGAGCTACTGGGCACCCAGAATCAACTGACTGAGCTATGTCATTATGAACTCTCAGTAAAGCTGATTCTGTGCTGTGTCGAGATCTGAAACCAGATTGAAATTTATCCAGGATTGTGCTTTTGTTTCCAAAAAAGGGTGAATTCGCATAAGCACATTTTTTCTAAAACTTGAGAGGAAGGGTAAATTAGAAATAGGTCTAAAATTTGATAAAACCAAGGGATCAAGATTTGTTTTCACAAAAATAGTCAGAATCCTGAAGTTTGACACTACAGGAGCAGTAGTTTCTGTTAGGACTCGTACATTTAGAGTCTGGACTCCAAAGGTTCCCATGTAACTTTGAACAACTGTTGATGGTTTGACTCACAGATAAAACTTTACTTTGGTTAACATCAAGAATGTTTAACTCTGATAAACCTATGTCTGTCCATCCTTGTTGAAGGTGGCAAACACTCGTCTGAATGCACTCTGATCCTGACGGAGGGAGACTCGGCCAAATCTCTGGCTGTCTCTGGTCTGGGGGTCATCGGTCGGGACCGCTATGGAGTGTTCCCGCTGAGGGGCAAGATCCTGAATGTACGAGAAGCATCACATAAACAGGTACAAAGCCAAGTCAGAGCGTTTCTATGGAAAATCTTGTCTAAATTGCTGAGTAAAGGGCGATCACTAAATCAAAAATAATTTCTGTGCTTAGTTTTTATTTTTTAACAACCGTAAAGATCATAACCATAAAATGATCAGTCTGGTGAAGGTTAGCATGCAGCTGAAACATGAAGACACAACAACTGAAGCCTTTTACAACCTTGTTCATACTTGGCTGTAAAAGGGACTTAACTGGTTGTAACAGATGTCTTAGTTGATGTCAAAATGTCTGTGAGTAGCAGCCACACACTAAACCGGATGCTGCAAGCTGAATAATTAGAGCTTTATTTGCACATTGGCTTATATTTTTTGGCTCTGATACAGCTTCTGTTCATTTATTACTGGTCTCAGAAAGCTAATGCCATTTGTCTTCACCACAAAACACTGTCGTTTTTTTAAGGATGGCTGAAGTTTTCTAGCAGCTTTGTCATTCTCTCACCTAGCTGTGACTGTTTAGAGTAGTTGGCATCTCAAAGTTGTGAAAAAAAGTTTTCATTTTTAATCTCACTGAATCCATCAAACTGGCAGCCTTGACTTGCAAAACTGCATTTTTTCTTATTTTGTTGTTGGAGGAGGTGGACAACTCCCCACAATAATGATTTAATCTACTGAAGTCCATTTTTGATGTGAAAATATGCAGATTTGGACCAGTTTTTGAACTATTTTTATCATCGATCTGGTTTTTAGTGTTGGACACTCATGGAAGGGAAAATTAAACTGTACTGTACTTGGCACAAAAAGTAACGGAATTTGTTCACTTGATTTTTTGTTGTTGTTGTACAGTTCTTGTTACATACATACTTGTTAATTATTTTAAGTCTGTTTATTCTCCCTAAATGGTGCCACATTTGTTAAGAAAATGCAGCAGAGTTAAGTTTGTGCATTACGCCCATAAAAACTTGCCACATCTTTTCTTCCTGTGCTAAACAGTTCATTCTTTTATTGACTCTATTGGTGACGTTTATGGGTTTGGACAATTGAAGTCTGAAGAAACAAAGAATAATTAAAGTCAACATTTTTTTCATTTAACAATCAGGGGCCTCAGTAGCATGTGGAAGAACCATACACAGCCACAACACCAGCATTTATTGTAAAGTCAGCCAATCAGGTTGTGTTGGTCAGTTGGAAACAAGCAGCAAGGTGATCCTACTGCTTTTCAGTGGTGTTCAGGTCTGGACTTCAGGAAGTCATTCAGTCCTTAAATGCCCTTAAAACTATTTTTAAAAAGCTTTTTTTCTAACTACTTCCTGTGTACACCAACTTAAATAACCTAAATGCGGTTAAAATAAGTATGGTAGTTTTAAAAACAAAGAGGAATAATAATTATGAGCCATATGATGGACTTATGACCTGTCCAGGGTGTACCCCGCCTCTCATACTGGTCACTAGAGATAAATACCAGCTCCCTGCAACCTGAACAGATAAAAGTGAATAAAGAGGATGGCTCAATGGATGGATATTGATTGTGACCATGTGTGCAATCTCCGTACATTTTTTTGTCCTAGATCATGGAGAATGCAGAGATAAACAACATCATTAAAATTGTCGGCCTGCAGTACAAGAAGAGCTACGATGACGCAGAGTCTCTGAGGAGCCTTCGTTATGGCCGGATCATGATCATGACCGATCAGGTGACCTGCCTCAGAGACTCCATTAGAAGATGAGCTGTGGTCCAGAAACAGTACAAACTTACTCTGTCTTTTACCAGGATCAAGATGGCTCCCACATCAAAGGTCTGCTCATCAACTTCTTCCACCACAACTGGCCCTCCTTGCTCAAACACACATTCCTGGAGCAATTTATCACACCTATTGTGAAGGTAAGAGAGTGACAGACACATTGCTTGTTTAACGAACCCAATGACGAGCTGCAGTCATGATACAGTGTGGTACTCAGAGGAATAAATTATGTCTGCAGGCCACAAAGAACAAACAGGAGCTGTCCTTCTACAGCCTTCCAGAGTTTGAAGAATGGAAGAAACAGACAGACAACTTTAAAACCTGGCATATAAAATACTACAAAGGTTTTCTGTATCAATGTTTATTTTTATTAAATTACACAAAAGGACAAAGTCATCCTTTAAAACTGTAATTTCTGCTCCAGGTTTGGGTACGAGCACAAGCAAAGAGGCAAAGGAGTACTTTGCTGATATGGAAAGGCACCGAATCACATTCAAGTACAACGGTGCTGAGGACGACGCTGCCATCACTCTGGTGAGTTCACCTATGGTTCCATTACTTCTCAAACTCACTTCTCATCATTAGCGGACAAACGTCAAAAGACCATGGTGTTTGTGTTGTGTTATCAAAATAACGTTTTATAATTCTAGATGGTATCAGGAAGAAATATTTTGACCAAGCATGCTAGCTGTGCTACACCTGATTCAAACAGAAAATGGCAGCAAAGTTTTGAAATGTTTTCTACACTTCTTTAGAAAACTTTTCCTAGAATCTTATTTTTAGTGAATTCAGAATGAGTTTAAATTCACTGTGTGGCCCTTTGATTGCTTAAAATACATTGATACAGCCCTTTTTAAAACAAAAATTGCCCATGCTTGCTTTAAGAACCGCTAGGCCTTTATTTATTCTCCTTAAAACAACAAGTAAATATAAGTAAATGTGTCAGAATAAAACAAGTCAGTCAGGAGGGTGGTTGCTCCAGCTTCATTGTAAACATGTCCTCAGGATGCTCATAGAAAGAAGAACTAAACAAGCACCTCACTTTTGGTAATTAATTAATTGTGTGCCAACAAAAGCTAATAAAAAGTTGTTTGAATATATCTTATTTAGATATAAACTTTGTGCTTGGTGGTAATTATTTATTTCTAGACTCCAGCTGCAGACATTTGCCTCTGTTCTACAGACCATCTCTGTGGTCAACCCCACCCCCTCACTTATCCCCTCCTCCCACTCCGACAGAATCCTGCAGTGTCCAGAACTGTTGTGCTCGTTGCAAACATTAACATTAATAAATCCTACAACAGTCCATGTTTTACAATAACTCTGGCCTACACTCACAGTACTTCAGCCCTTCTGTGAGTTCATAGTGTGATGTGGAGCGTTGTGTTTTCCTCCAGGCTTTCAGTAAAAAGAAGATCGATGACAGGAAGGAGTGGCTCACTAACTTCATGGAGGACAGACGTCAGAGGAGGATGCATGGGCTGCCAGAGGTCTGTGTCTTCATCTGTGATCTGAAGAAATGTCGTTTTTATTATTTATGATGTTCAATTCAGTTGATTTGTTTATGGAAAAGTGCACAAATAAATATGCATGTTTCACTTTTAGAAATACCTTTATGGAACTCAGGCCAAGCACCTCTCATACAATGACTTCATCAACAAAGAGCTAATCCTGTTCTCCAACTCCGACAACGAGAGGTCCATCCCATCCTTAGTCGATGGTTTGTATGTTTTTCTGAGCATTAAATGAATCATTAACACATTATCATAGAGTCAGGGTGTTATGACATGGATATCTGCTACTATCCTTCCATGAAGGATTTATGATGAGCCCGTCCATTGATTTCAGGCCTAAAGCCAGGTCAGAGGAAGGTGTTGTTTACCTGCCTGAAGAGGAATGACAAGAGAGAGGTGAAGGTTGCACAGCTGGCTGGTTCCGTTGCTGAAATGTCTGCCTATCATCACGGAGAGGTAAGCTTAACTTTTTATATTAAAAGCCTTTTTCATAAAGATTTTTATGGAAACAAGGTCTGAAAGTGAAATAACTCATTGAATATTGTCTGTCATGGTTTAGCTTGTCACAAAACATTTATGCTCACAGCAGGTTCAAATGGCTCCACCTTGTCAGCATTTGAAAGCCTATCTATATCTAAATAAATAATTACATCATATTTATGTCAAGGTTACGTTTTATTATATGTCTGTGAACAGGCATACGTGTCATGAGATTGTCTTTGTCCATCCGTAAACTTTGTCGTGTCCGGACCATAATGTTAAAGACGTGAGCTGGCTGCGGGCCACCGGATCCGGAAACCCCCTCCAGCCCACGTCCCTACCCCCTGGCTCGAACCTTCCTCAGAAGTGGCAAACAATACTAATCAATAAATCAAGGAAACGTCAATTAAGTTTTATCAATTATATTAGAAAAAGGCAATAAAAGATTACAATTTACAGGCTGGACTCTATTCAGTCTGTGACGCGTTCACAGACCCGGAAGAAAGAACCCCGATGTCTCGTGTCATCATTAATTTATAGGGCCCTAGACTCCGCCCTTTGCAGAAGGGGGAGCTCAACCTGTCAGTGTATGAGGGGGCGGGACTAAGTGTGGTCTTACGTGTACTGACGTGTAAGGAAAACATGAGACGGTGTTTTAAAGCCTTTTCTACGTGATGTGGCAAGCTGATTAAACTATTTCTTGACAGATATTGAATTATCAGGGAGACTCTCTTTAAGAGTTTGCTGGCCCAGGACTAGCATGTCTGGGACCGGGTCATAATTTCATTATAATCCGATCTCTGAGCAGATCAAAACATAGGACCAGTCTAAATAGGAAATATCTTAACAATAACATTGTATCATATTTTATGAAACTTCATGCACATATGATTCACTTCTTAATGGAGTGTCATATACACTTTTAATCATCCCAACGTCAAGGTCACAAATTAAGGTCAAAAGTCGTGCAAGGTCTTTGCTTGTGTGTTTCACAGATTGCTGTATGCTTGTTGACGGGCATATAATATGCCGCATGTGGTACTTTTGTTTCATTACCTGCAATTTATGTTCTGAAATACAAACCGGATTCCAAAAAAGTTGGGACACTAAACAAATTGTGAATAAAAACTGAATGCAATGATGTGGAGGTGCCAACATCTAATATTTTATTCAGAATAGAACACAAATCACAGATCAAAAGTTTAAACTGAGAGAATGTATCATTTTAAGGGAAAAATTTGTTGTTTCCAAATTTCATGGCGTCAACATATCCCAAAAAAGTTGGGACAAGTCCATTTTTACCACTGTGTGGCATCCCCCCTTCTTCTTACAACACTCAACAGACGTCTGGGGACACAGGAGACCAGTTTCTCAAGTTTAGAAATAGGAATGCTCTCCTGTCTAATACAGGCCTCTAACTGTTCAATCGTCTTGGGCCTTCTTTGTTGCACCTTCCTCTTTATGATGCACCAAATGTTTTCTATAGGTGAAAGATCTGGACTGCAGCCTGGCTATTTCAGTACTCGGATCTTTCTCCTACGTAGCCATGATGTTGTGATTGCTGCAGAATGTGATCTGGCATTATCGTGTTGAAAAATGCAGGGTCTTCCCTGAAAAAGATGACATCTAGATGGGAGCATATGTTGTTCTAGAACCTGAACATAGTTCTCTGCATTAATGGTGCCTTTCCAGACATGCAAGCTGCCCATGCCACAAGCGCTCATGCAACCCCATACCATCAGTGATGCAGGCTTCTGAACGGAGCGTTGATAACAACTTGGGCTATCCTTGTCCTCTCTGGTCCGGATGACATGGCGTCCCAGTGTTCCATAAAGAACTTCAAATTGTGACTCATCTGACCACAGAACAATCTTCCATTTTGCCACACTCTATTTTAAATGACCCCTGGCCCAGTGCAAACATCTGAGCTTGTGGAGCTTGCTTAGAAATGGCTTCCTCTTTGCACTGTAGAGTTTCAGCTGGCAACGGCGGATGGCACGGTGGATTGTGTTCACTGACAATGCTTTCTGGAAGTATTCCTGAGCCCATTCTGTTATTTCCTTGACAGTGGCATTCCTGTTTGAGGTGCAGTGACATTTAAGGGCCCAGAGATCACGAGCATCCAGTAGAGTTTTACGGCCTTGACCCTTACGCACAGCAATTGTTCCAGATTCTCTGAATCTTTTGATGATGTTATGCACAGTTGATTACGGAAACTTAAATGTCTTTGCTATTTTACGCTGGGTAACACCATTCTGGCATTGTTGCACTATCTTTCTGCGCAACAATGGTGGAATTGGTGATCCTCTTACCATCTTGGCTTCTGAGAGACACTGACACTCTGAGAAGCTCTTTTTATACCCAATCATTTTGTCAATTGACCTAATTAGTGTTAATTGGTCTTCCAACTGTTCGTTATATGCTCAATTTCCTTTTTCCAGCCACTTATTGCTACTTGTCCCAACTTTTTTGGGATTTGTTGACACTGTGAAATTTTGAATCAACCTATTTTTCCTTTAAAATGTTACATTTACTCAGATTAAACTTTTGATCTGTCATCTATGTTATATTATGAATAAAATTTTGACATTTGCCATCTCCACATCATTGCATTCAGTTTTTATTCACAATTTGTTTAGTGTCCCAACTTTTTTGGAATCCGGTTTGTATTTATCTAATTAAATTATTTTTTTAATTCTTGAAGGCAAAGTAGTGATCATGTTGTTGTTTTTTTTGCTTGTATCATTTAGTAAATATATCTCATAAATCAGTAGATAAATCTGAATGAAAGTCAAATCTTAACCTGAACCACTCCAGTGTTCATTGAAAGCATCTTCCCTCAGACTCGTATTCATCTGAACATCAGTTTTGTGTCATCTCAGATTTGGCTTCTGCAATGATTCACTTCTTCTGCTAATGAGACCTCACTTCCTGTTTGTCTTGTAGCAAGCTCTCATGATGACCATCGTGAACTTGGCCCAGAGCTTTGTGGGGAGCAACAACGTGAACATCCTGCAACCCCTGGGACAGTTCGGTACTCGCATCAACGGAGGCAAAGATGCTGCTAGTCCTCGTTACATCTTCACCATGCTCAGGTAACAAGAAGAACAACAGAAGACATTCTTGGTTTACTGTTATTGTTGTCTGAACTTTATATGTTTGGTCTGGAACAGGTCCCTCTTGTAAATGAGTCCTTGTGGCTCAATGAGGCTATCCTGTATAAATAAAGGTTGAATGAATGAATGAATGGTGCCCTATAAGTCTGATTACTTCATCTTGATGGCCTATTTTAGTAAAAACTATAGGTATGGCTGTAACTACAGTTCTATGAATCCCGGATGACTACGATGCGTGTGGGGGGATGCAGACGTCTGGCGCCTCTCAGAAACAAGGACATATCCTTGTTACAACCTACTGTCTCCCCACCCACCACCGTATGCCAGCAAGAGATGGCAGCAACATAAACTTTCAGGGTGGATGGAGACAGGCCCTGAGAAAGTAGCGCTCGAAGGAAAGTAAGAATAACAGGAAGAGGACAATGTACAGAGTCCTCGTGTCTGGCACGACACCAGTTGCTGAAGACCTTATACTTATGTGTGTACAACAGTCGTGTGGAAGGGGCTCTGGCGTTATTCATTGTATGTGTGACTTCCCCGTCATACTCTGAGAAGGTAATGCCGGACCCTGTAGCGGCCAAGCCCAGAGCCGGAGGCGACTGGGCTTGGGGTGCAGGAGCTGACCCCCCAACTGTGACAGGAGGTCCTTCCTGTGGGGTAGAGGCATTGGAGAGCTGCAACAGACCCTGTGCAGCAGTGGAAACCAAGTTCTCCTGGGTCAGAGGGGAGTCACTAGGAGGACTTGATGCCCCTTTTGAAGGACTCTCAGGAGTGTTGGGCCTATCAGGGGAAGCGGCGGAAAAGCATACAGCAACACCCTGGGCCAGTCGTGTGCCAGTGCGTCCTGACCCAGGGCACTGGCAATGCCTGCCAGAGAAAACCAAAGCGGGCAGTGTGTCGTCTCCTGAGATGCAAACGGGTCCACAGCTGCCTTGCCGTACCTCTCCCAAATTACCTTCACCACCTCCGGATGGAGCCTCCATTCCTGAGGTGGTGGGCGTCCCCGAGACAGAAAATTGGCTGGCCCATTCCGCACTCCTGGAATGTGAGCTGCCCTCAGGCTGGCAAAGAGGGGGGCTGCCCAAAGTAAGAGTTTCTGGGTCAGTAGCAGCAATGTCAGCGACCGTGTTCCCCCTTGATGGTTGACATGAAAAACCACAGAAGTATTGTCGGAACGCACCAGGACATGCTTCCCACGCAGGCCCGGGAGGAAGTGTTTTAGTGCCAGCCGCACAGCGTCCAGCTCCAAAGCATTGATGTGCCTCGCCTTTTGCTGTGGAGACCACGTTCCTTGGGCAATCTGTTGCTGCCACGATGCCTCCAACCTGTGGTATATGCATCGGTACAAACAACCTCCCTCCGAGATGGCAGAGAGCCCAGTGGGACTCCCTTCACCATAAACACTGCACCTCGCCACTGAGCCAGTGACGCGAGGCATTGAGGGGACACCAGCAACCTCCTGCATCGGTGCACTGCACGGGTCTGATCCAGCCGCAGGCTGTTGAGCCACATCTGTAGAGGGCTCAGAGACAACAGCCCCAGAGGTACCACTGTGGAGGCAGCAGTCAGCTTACCTATCAGGCGAAGGTACGCAATGAAGGGGGTGCACAGCCAGGCAGGAAGGCGGGCAGCATCTGTAGAATCCCGCTGACACGCTGTGGCAACGGGCAAGCCACCATGGTGAGGGAGTTCATCGTAGTTCCCAGGAACATGACCTCCTGAGAGGGAATTAGGTTGCTCTTCTGCCAATTCACACGAAGACCCAATAGGTCTATGTGTTAGAGCACCATCTATGTGTCCGCAGCTGCCTGAGCTTGTGTTGGTGCACAGATCAGCCAATTGTCCAAGTAGGGCAGGATCTTCAACCCCTTGACCTGCTGAGGGTACAGGGCTGCTGCCACACACCTGGTGAACACACGGGGGGACAGAGAAAGACAGAATGGAAGAACTGTGAATTGAAAATGCTTGCCCTGAAATGCAAAGCAGAGAAACTGCCAATGGTGCTTCTCAATCGGTACATGAAAGTATGCATCCTTCAAGTCGACCAAGGTGAACCAATCGCCTGGAGAGACTGCCTAGAGCGCGTCTCTGATGCTCAACATGTGGAAATGAATAGTTTTTAAAAACACATTCAGGCCTCTCAGGTCCAGAATTAGCCGTAGTCCACCAGTCTTTTTGGTGACTAAAAAATACTCTGAGTAAAAGCCCCCTGGATCCCGCAGGGGGTCAACAGGCACTATAGCAGCCTTGGCCAGCAAGGCGTCTGTTTTGTGGTTCAGTGCCTGAGCTTTCACCTGGTCTCGAATGACTGTCATTCTGACCTGACCAGGAATGGGAGAGCGGCGGCGGAACTGTAGCACGTAGCCCCAAGATAGTGTTGACACAACCGACAAATCGGGCACGAGAGTGGCCCAGCAGTTGAGCTGAAATGGGGTAAAGTGTCCCACCGCCTGCTTCCAAATGTCATTTCTGAGCTCCCCTGCCTTTAGGAGAGCGGGAGGGATGCCGGGAGGGCTGCCCGCCTTGAAGAGGGACAGGAGCCCGACCTCTGGGCAGAGCCTATTGGCTATGAGTAGCCCTTACAGCAGGCCGCGGCTGCCCCACAGAGGGTGTAGGTGGGGCTGGATAAGTGCGTGAGAAGGACGCAGAGGCACCTCCAGCAAGACGCCAAGAGCGTCTGCAATGAAGGCTGGACAATTGCTGTCTGGTACGGGTGTCCTGGGCTGAACGTTCCAAGGCTGCGAGTGAAACAGAACCAAAACAGCTCCCCAGGAACCACAGGAAGACTCGTCAGGGTCCTTCTACAGTGTTCAGTCGGGAGACTGCACCAGCCAAACCTGGCGACGTGCCTGGATGAGGGTAGATAACACACGGCCAATCTCCCTTGAAAAAAGAACAAAGGCATGAAGGGAAGCGTCCATCAGACCTTGAGTAGGCGTATCAACCGCCAAGCCCTCCAAGGAGGTCGAGAGGCCCAGTAACAAATGAGACAACGAGTTACCCAGTTGCCCCAATCGAGACCCCAAGTCATAAGCTCTACAGAGCAGGTCATCTGTGACCCAGCACTGAGGACAAGGGCACCTGGCATTAGCCCTCAAAGCCTCATCCAGGGGCACAATGAGGGACGCTATAGCAGGTTCGACAGAAGGCATATGGTCCAAGCCAAACTTGGGCGCATCCTACATGGCCGCCAGGGCCCTTCCATCTGCGGTCGGTCGTGAGAAAGCCTTAGTATCCATCCAGCAGGCATATAACTCCTTTATGTATTCAGCCGAAGGGGGAACCATAACGGACGACTTAGCAGAAGGACGTTTAAAGAAAGTACTGGAAGCAGCGGGTTGGCTCTGTGGAACATCCAGGTGCAACCGAGCAAGAGCAGTTCTCAAAGCACCCACTATGGAACCGTCCTTTGGCTGAGAGCAGGAGGAGGTGTGCGAACTGGCAGTCGACACACACGAGCCAGACTCAAACTGCTCTTGAAAATCAGTTCCGGATGCTGCCAGGGTGTTAGCATCCTCTTCAAAAGCAGAGGCCCCTGAGCCCATGTTCTGTCCCAGGTCAGGGTCCCCAGTCAGACCTGCATTGTCCCCTACCCTCAGGGACTCGAGCAACGCCTTCATCTGTTCCTGCTCAGAGGTGAGATGGGCCACCTGCCCAAATAGTCCCTCTGAGCCCTTGGAACTTTTCTTGGTCCTCTTTTGTGGAGGTCCCAAGGCCTCTGGGGCCACACGCTTTGCAGGCTGGCTTGCAATCTCAGAACCAGCCAAACGAGCTGCCCGCAGGGACAAGGGCAGAACTTCTGTCAAGCTTCTGTCAAGACCTCCCTCAGGTGATCTGGCCCCAAACAAGGGGGTTACAGATCATGTCCATCCTCCCAACTGGAGAGAGGCCAAACGGGCTCTGCAGAACTGCACGTCCAGCATATTACTAGAAGCGTCAAGTCGAGCAGGAAACGCCACTCTTGACGCTGAGTCGATGAGCAAATAGACCAGGGAACCCGGTCAAGCAGAAAACGCCACCAGGGGTTCCCCAACTGCTAGCTTATAAAAGCAGTCAGAAGTGCTACAACTGCCGTAGAGCCACAGGTAAAAAATGTAACACAAACACAGTTGCGATTAAAGAAAGGGAGGCAAGCCGAACACGGTGCACAACTCACGAAAAAAATGCAAGGACGAACACGGCTGCACTATAATGAAAAAATGCAAGCGCGAACACGGCTGCACTATAATGAAAAAGGCAAGCCGAACTCGGCCGCACAACTCAAGGAAATGCCAGCACGTAAAACGGCTGCAGTGTAACAGAATAAAGTCAAGCTGAATACAGCTGTAAATATGTAAATGAAAAGCGAGCACGAAAAACGGCTGCAGTGTAACAAATAAAGTCAAGCGAGCCCGAACAGGTAAAGGTGGGTGAAGCCATACACAGCTGCTACACCCGCAACTGAAAACAAGCAAGCACGAACGCGGCTGCAATGCTTTCTGTAAACTAAGGAAAAACTGCTAAACACCGTACTTCCAGCCAATAAGGAAACACGATGTGGCTAGCGAACGCGCTACCGCCGGGTCAACAGAAACAAAACAACTTATCAGTTGAAGTACAATCGTTTAGAGGACACCAGCTTCCGCAGCCTCTGGAGGGCGAGACGGTCCCGCAGCTCCGACCGTAGTCTCGAGGCTACCAGCGTCAAGCAGAAAAAGTAAACCTCTGACCACCTGCATGCGAGAAGATGAAAGGGACTGGGCTACCGTTGTCACGTGTCCTGGGCGTCACACGTGACCATGTTGGCATAAATTCTCGACTTGCGCATGCGCAAGAATGATCATTCAGTGTTTTAAGCACTGCCTCTGGCGGTCAGTAGGGATGAAATAGAACTCTAGTTTTAACCCATTATGACACATTCTAATTGCCACTGATTAAGTGAAATGCACAAAAACTATCTCACAAATCTAACTACAGTCAATTCAGTTCAGTTATAAAACAACACATTCCCATACAGTACTTTGTGAAATGTCAGTTAGTAGAAGTTATCTAACCAAGGAAGCCAAGAGATTGCTTTAAAGCTTTAGGGGGCGTTTACACGGCACATCTTTTGAGTGCATCTGCATCTGTGGTTCTGCTGATCATTTACACAACACCAGTGCCTCCCCACTTTGAATCCAGAGGTTTTTCAACCCACCTTCCAGAGTGGAGGTTTTTCGCTGACCCCCCGCTGATAATGTAAACATTTCCCACTGAGGCTTTGTGTTAAACCACTGTGCACACGCACGTGCGGACAGACGCTATATTTCTATCAACATGGCGGCGGATACACTGCTTTCAGAACTACGACTGAAAAAAAAAAAAAGATCTACGACTGATGGAATATATTTTTTATCTCGTAGTTAATCTACGTCAGATTCTAGGTGCTGTGACCGACACCTGTGTTGGAAGAGACAGTCAGATCCAGTTCTAATATCGCTGTTTATAGAACGTGGCACGCGCACACGTCGCGCTGCACTATAACATACTAAATGTGCTAAATAATAACAGTTTAATAATAATAAACAGTATTTATGTTAGTGTGAGAGATATAATGAAGCTCTGAGCTAAATGAAGCTATCTGGACATGTAATTCAAATTTAAAATGATGCTAAACATACAGGTCCTTCTCAAAAAATTAGCATATTGTGATAAAGGTCATTATTTTCCATAATGTAATGATAAAAATGAAACTTTCATATATTTCAGATTCATTGCACACCAACTGAAATATTTAAGGTCTTTAATTTTTTTAATACTGATGATTATAGCATACAGCTCATGAAAACCCAAAATGCCTGTCCCAAAAAATTAGCATATCATGAAAAGTTTCTCTAAACAAGCTATTAACCTATCCATCTGAATCAACGACGTAACTCTAAACACCTGCAAAAGATTCCTGAGGCTTTTAAAAACTCCCAGCCTTGTTCATTACTCAAAACTGCAATCATGGGTAAGACTGCCGACCTGACTGCTGTCCAGAAGGCCATCATTGACACCCTCAAGCAAGAGGGTAAGACACAGAAAGAAATTGCTGAACGAATAGGCTGTTCCCAGAGTGCTGTATCAAGGCACCTCAGTGGGAAGTCTGTGGGAAGGGAAAAGTGTGGCAGAAAACGCTGCACAACGAGAAGAGGTGACTGGACCCTGAGGAGGATTGTGGAGAAGGGCCGATTCCAGACCTTGTGGGACCTGCGGAAGCAGTGGACTGAGTCTGGACTAGAACTATCCAGAGCCACCGTGCACAGGCGTGTGCAGGAAATGGGCTACAGTTGCCGCATTCCCCAGGTCAAGCCACTTTTGAACCAGAAACAGCAGCAGAAGCGCCTGACCTGGGCTACAGAGAAGCATTCGGAAATCAAGGTGCCAGAGTCTGGAGGAAGACTGGGGAGAAGGAAATGTCAAAATGCCAGAAGTCCAGTGTGAAGCACCCACAGTCAGTGATGGTCTGTGGTGCCAAGTCAGCTGCTGGTGTTGGTCCACTGTTTTTTATCAAGGGCAGGGTCAATGCAGCTAGCTATCAGTAGATTTTGGAGCACTTCATGCTTCCATCTGCTGAAAAGCTTTATGGAGATGAAGATTTCATTTTTCAGCACGACCTGGCACCTGCTCACAATGCCAAAACCACTGGTAAATGGTTTACTGACCATGGTATTACTGTGCTCAATTGGCCTGCCAACTCTCCTGACCTGAACCCCATAGAGAACCTGTGGGATATTGTGAAGAGAAAGTTGAGAGATGCAAGACCCAACACTCTGGATGAGCTTAAGGCCGCTATCGAAGCATCCTGGGCCTCCATAACACCTCAGCAGTGCCACAGGCTGATTGCCTCCATGCCACGCCGCATTGAAGCAGTCATTCATGCAAAAGGATTCCCGACCAAGTATTGAGTGCATAACTGAACATGATTATTTGAAGGTTGGCGTTTTTTGTATTAAAAACACTTGTCTTTCATTGGTGGGATGAAATATGCTAATTTTTTGGGACAGGCATTTTGGGTTTTCATGAGCTGTATGCCATAATCATCAGTATTAAAACAATTAAAGACTTAAAATATTTCAGTTGGTGTGCAATGAATCTGAAATATATGAAAGTTTCATTTTTATCATTGCATTATGGAAAATAATGACCTTTATCACAATATGCTAATTTTTTGAGAAGGACCTGTATAGCGTGAACACTAAAGTTGAAAATGAAGACATCAGGTTTAATTTTTATTTATTTATTCAACACCACAAACTGTATGTCACACACTGAACTGAACATACTATTAAAACAAGTTATGTGTAAACTACGTTAATGAACAACTGGACTCTTGTTTTCATCCAGTATGGAAGTTTCACGTTGTCCATCTGACTCGTTCAGGCTGTCACTCCTTTGATTAATGCAGCTTAAAACATTGAGTGGATTGAATAAAAGAAATGAGGGGAATTTTAAATAAATAGTTCATCCAACATCTCTCTTCGACATCCTTCTGCACTGCACCTGGGCCGAGCCTTGTTCAAAACCGGTCCGCCTGGTGGAAGGACAGCTCCTTCTTCTTTCAGGAAAAATAAAAACTTGGTTGTTTTGTAACCGAAGTAAACACAAACTAACATTATTAAGAACGTTGATTTACCTGCTGTAAAATAGCTACTTATTATCACGGAGTAAAGTCCGACATCGTCGACTCTGTTCTGGTCCACTCAGCGACCGGTATGGAGCTGTTGGACGAAGCGGTCCCGCTTGGCGTCAAATCTGTCAACTCCTATCCACAATCCAGCCAAAATCCAGCTTTTACTTGTTGTTAAATTGTTGTTAGCTGAGCTTTTTAGCTCACAGGAAAGGCACGTGCCAAGGCAGCACGCATGCGCATTAGGTGAAGGTACAAAATTCACAGCTCCATCTAATGACCTGGCATGGTAACTACAGCGGATTCGGGAGGGCGGGGGGATTCCTTCGAATGCATGTAAACCCAAATTCCGCAGATCTTTTCCTCTAATTAACATACGAAAGAACCTACGTTTCCCCCCATCGTGTCTGTGTAAATAGGGCCTTACTTTGTCCATCCTGAGCAGTGACAGTGGAAACAAATGACTCACTTTGAACAGGAAGAAACCTGAATGATCACAATCATGAACAATAGAGCGAGTAAAGACAGCAGCAAAGTGAGGAGATATGGTCATTTTGTCCTCCAGTAGTCTAAGCCTAAAGCAGCAAAACATAGGGACAGCTCAGGAAACCCAAACCAACCCAACCTATAGGATTTATCAAAAAGGAAGACTTAAGCCTCATCTTAAATCTAGACAAGGTGTCAGCCTCTCGGACAGAAACTGGAAGAGAGGAGCCCGAGAACTGAAAGCTCTGCCTCCCATTCCCACTGTTAGAAACTCTAGGAACCTCAAGTAAACCTGCAGTCTGAGTTCTCTGTTTGGAAAATATGGATCTTTAGGAATTTAATTAGTGGCTGGTTCAACAACAAGTTTAAAATTTATTGGTGATCTGTTCCCCACAGTCCTCTTGCCAAGCTGTTGTTCCCAGCAGTGGACTCCAATCTGCTCAAGTTCCTGTATGACGACAACCAGAAGGTGGAGCCAGAGTGGTTCATTCCCATAATCCCAATGGTTCTGGTGAACGGCGCCGAGGGCATCGGGACGGGCTGGGCCTGTAAGATCCCAAACTACGACCCGAGAGAGATTGTAAACAACATCAACAGGATGCTCAACCACCAGGACCCTTTGCCAATGGTAAAAAAGAGACCACCTGATGTCACCGGGCCAGTACCATTCCAGTGTTTCCCCTAGGTCTCTTGCCTTGGCAGGACTCTCTTTTCTCCAGGATTTTTAATTTTTGCTAGCGTGTCTGTATTGCGTGCCACTAGCTTAGTGCTACGTCAGCGCTGTCAGTTGGTAAAACAGTGGTGGTGGTGGGGGGAGGGTTGTAGGTTAAGGACATTTCAATAGGCAAGGCACTTGCTTCTGTTGACAGAGCAGGGCACCCTCCTTGGATAATGGTAGGGGAAACGCTGCATTCTCACTCAGTAAATCAGACGGTACCCAATGTCACCACAGTTCCCAGTCAGCAAACAAGGCAGTTCCCACCAGTTGGCTGGTGCCATTTTCAGTCAGTAAATCAGGCTGGCAGCACGACGGCTCAGTGGTTAGCACTGTTGTCTCACAGCAAGAAGGTCCTGGGTTCAATTCCCGGTTGGACCTGGGGTCTTTCTGTGTGGAGTTTGCATGTTCTTCTCGTGGATACGTGGGTTTTCTCCATGTACTCTGGTTTCCTCCCACATACCAAAAACATGCATGTTAGGCTGTCTTCAGGTCCAGACCTCCCTTGCCAAAGAGATCTGTGATCTCAGTGGGATTTAACTGCTTAAATAAAGGTTAATAAATAAAAAAATAATTCTGATGTCACCAGGCTGGTACTACTACAGGGCAGCTGTGGCTGAGTGGTTAGAGCAGTCGTCCTCCAATGCAAGAGTTGGGTGTTTGATTCCACCTGCAGTCACATGCCGAAGTGTTCCTGGGCAAGACACTGAACCCCTCGTTGCCTTCGATGTGTGTCCCATCAGTGAATGAATGTGATAAAGCACTGATTAGTCTTTGTAGAGATCTAGTAGAGTGCTGTATGAATGGGTAAATGAGGCACAGCTTCTGTTGTAAAGAGCTTTGAGTATCATGATCAGATAGAAAGGAGCTATATAAGTACAGTCCATTTACCATTTACTATTCCCAGTCAGTAAACCAGACGGTACCTGCTGTCATCGGGCTGGTACCACTTCACAACAAGGACTCCTTTATTCATTTTTTTCTCAGTGGGTTAATCATGAGTTTGTAATCAATTTATGAATCAATGGCAACAGATAACTTTTAGATTAACAGCCTGTGGTGCAGTGGTAGGGCAGCCGAATTGGGACCAGAAAGTCGCAAATTTGATTTCCCACCATACCCATATGCTTTGGTGCTTTTGAGCACCTGGGGAGCAGGTGCTTCAATAGCTGCTCCACCTGGGTGTGCCTGATGTGTGATGGGTCAAATGCAGAACACACATTTACCAGTAATCATTTGTCAGGATTTTACCTATAGGCACTAAAAATATTTTACAACTGTGCTGTGGCTGTGGTTATTAAAGTTTTGAGCAACCACCAATAAATTACTTTTGCCAAAATAAAGTACAACACTTTATCTTGTCAGATAGTGAGCCTTCTTCAACACATGGCGAGTTTATATTACAAACTCATTAATAACTTATTTAGAGGGCTTTATTCAGTCCCTTTGGAAAGAGGCTCTTATTGTGAAGTTTTAAATTCCACATGTTTTATTCAAACAACGGTGTAACTAAAACAAGTAGAGTTCAAGCTCCACGACTGAATGTTCTTGGTTTTCAAGAATCTGATTGTTTTATAAATCAGCTGTTTGTGCAGTAAATTTATTTACAGTATTTCTCAGTGGTAAACTGTGTGTGTGAATGCAGCTTCCCAACTACAAAAACTTCAAAGGGGTGATCCATGAGCTGGGACACAACCAGTACCTGGTCAGTGGAGAGGTATCAGTCCTGGATAAGAACACCGTTGAGATCACAGAGCTTCCTGTCCGGACCTGGACACAGGTACGGTCCAGCTCCTGTCCTCAGAAAGGGTGGGTGGGTGGATGGATATTTTGATTGTTCTGTCTCTTCCCTGCAGGCCTACAAGGAGTCAGTTCTGGAGCCCATGCTGCTGGGCTCTGATAAAACCCCAGCTCTCATCAATGATTATAAGGAGTACCACACTGACGCAACAGTTAAGTTTGTGGTCCGCATGTCAGAGGAGAAGCTGGCTCAAGCTGAGGCGGTCGGCCTCCACAAAATCTTCAAACTGCAGTCCAGTCTTACCTGCAACTCAATGGTACCTCTACCAGGATCAGAACTTCTTGTTTTAAAGTAATTCTGGTGTGTGTTTGAACTTTTATTTGGTAAACTCTATCCTGTCTAGGTGCTGTTTGATCATATGGGTTGTTTGAAGAGGTACGATTCGGTCCAAGACATCCTGAAGGAGTTCTTTGAACTTCGCCTGCATTACTACAAACTGAGAAAGGACTGGCTGCTGGGGAGTCTGGGCTCAGAGGCCGCCAAACTGTCCAACCAGGCTCGCTTCGTGCTGGAAAAGATTGAAGGAAAAATATCCATTGGTAAGAGTTCTGAAAGGCCTTGAAGGGCTACACTTAACCCTTGAATAGTCTGGGAAAGTCTGGAATTTGATTTGAGTGCTTTCCAGCTCTGGATAAGTTTTAGCACACTGAATCCAAAGAAACATTTGTCCATACTGACTTTATTCCCTGTTCTGTTTCCTCTCAAATCAAATTAAAATAAAGTAGTGTTCAGGCAAGAATGTTAAAAAAAGTTAACTTTAGTTTTATTCACCACATCAGCCCAGAAGTTTTAGGTTTTATCTAAACCACACACAGACAACTCAGGCCGTCCGTTTAAAGGAAAACCATCCATAATCTTTACCTGCTTCTTCCATTTTGGGTTGCGGGGGCCACTGGTGCCTATGTCCAGCAGTCAGTGTGCGAGAGGCGGACACCCTGCACAGGTCTCCAGTCCATCACAGGGACACATAGAGACAAATGAGACAAGCAACCATTCACTCTCACCTAGGGACAATTTAGAGTTACCAATCAGTCTAACATGCATGTTTTTGATCTGTGGGAGGAAACTGGAGTACCCGGAGAAAACCCACACATGCACGGAGAGAACATGCAAACTCCACCCAGAAAGGCCCCCCGACCGGGATTTGAACCAGGGTGACCAGCTTACTGACAGAAATGCCCCTTTTCCACTATCACGGCGCGGGTCGGATATTTACGACTTCACGCGCGTTTGAGGTCTTTCCACTGTTCCTGTGACCGGCTCGCCTCCCTAAATTCTGGCCCGGCTTCTCAAGGGGTCCAAGCGAGCCGCGCCGTGACGTCAGAAACACTGTCGGTCACTGATTGGTCGGGGGGAGGAGTCTGTGGAGTCTTTCCAAACAACCCGATCCACCATTTTTTCCTCTACCGCTTGCTATTAGCGATAACACCAGGAGCGTATCTTTTAGTATTTTGAAGCTATAAAAAAACAATAATATCAAAGCCGTGGTCAAATGCAGAAGTGCAGGTGTTGTTGTGCTTGGTGGCTGACGAAAAAAGTCAAAGCGAGCTAGATGGAGGATTGGAGGATGGTTTGGACACGGCCACTGCTCTACTTGAATCATTTATAGAAGATGGTGAGTGTTTTCTAACTTTAAACATATTTTAAGTTACTCATCCCATCGGTTCTGAACATATTTTTAACTAACAAAAGAGGCTGACGCCATAATAGGACAACATCGGTGCTACGATGCTAAGCTAATTTGCATAAACGCTAACTGTCCTCCGGTCCCGTTTCTCACTGTATTTTATCCAGAACGTATTTCAGCGCGTGACTGTTCATCTCTAAACTCCACATTAAACCCTCCAAGCCTCCCGGCTTCTGCTCCTGCTCCATCAGAGGAGTCTGCACCTGACAGAGCTCCATCACAGCCCAGCTGCACCTCACAGAGCAGCACAACGCTGCAGCCTTCTGTGCTCGGTAAGAACAGATGCAACATGTTCCACATCACTTTATTTGTGCCGATAAGGACTTGCTTCATTTTATTTATTTTTTTAAATAAAATGTTGAATAAATACTGAATTGGGATGAAATTATGTACTTTGTACACAGGGTCCCAGTTACAGACAACAAAATGTAAAAGAAAAACAGTAATAAGATCTAAGATATGAATTAAGAAAAATATCAACTAAAAACATCTACTAATAATACACTAAGCACTAATAGCAGTAAACAAACAAAACAATACGTCAAACAGCAACATGAACTTGAGTTTTTGCAGCCTTATGAATATATAACACTGTGAAGAATCACATCATGTTGCTGCTGATCAGTTTCATGTTGCTGCTGATCAGTTTCATGTTGCTGCTGATCTGTTTTATGTTGCTGTGTTCATGCATGCTCGTCTGTTCACACAGACTCATGTCCGTGCTGCTGTTCGCGTATTGTGTTTAATGTTTTTATACTATTAGAGCTTATCATACTTTTAGTTGATGTTTTTCTTAGTTCATATCTTTAGATCTCATTACTGTTTTTCTTTTATATTTTATTGTTGGATGTAACTGGGACCCTGTGAACATAATTTTGATCCACCACATGGACCACATGTGGTGCGAATGACAATAAAGAATATCTGCATCTGTATAATACTTTCTGATTCATATATCCATTGTTATTATTATATTATTTTCATTATTTTTAAATCAATTTATTTTTCATTTTCTTATTTGATCAGTTTATTATTATTAATATATCTATTAGAGCTGTTAGCAGCTCCTTTCTTTGTTTTATGCATTTATTCAAAAACAGTATGTAGCTTGAATTAACCACCTTTTTCTACTTTCTAGTCAAGAGAAAGAGAAAAGAGTCCAGTAAAGAAAAGTCTTATTTCATCACTGAATGAACATGAAAAACTGAACCGGACACAGCAGGAACAACACTTGTGTCTTCTTCTGGATGAAGCCCGTGAGACAAGGGACAGACAGATACACAATCATTAGTTGGATGCAGTATTTTTTATTTTTGTACATTTTTCACTTCTTACTTTTCCTATTAAACAATTTTTTTCTTAAGTGGTGTCCTTGAACATTAAATTTTCTAAACAAATTTTACAATGTTAAGTTCATATAGTGTTTGTTTAATTTCATACTGGAAGTTGAGAAGAATTTCCAATTGCATTTGGTCTTTAATGGATCCTAAGAAAAGATTACCAGAATCTGCTCAACTGTTATTATGTTATAAATTTTTTGGTTCTAGGATGAAGTGACACAAAAACAGTCAAAAATTCAGAAAAGACAGTTATCAGTTATCAGTTATTGTTTATCGGCCGTACAACTGTGGCCCGAGAGATTCAGCTGAAAGTGCTGGTGCACCTTTTATTTGAACCTGCAGAGATTTGAACAGCTGATCTGAAGCAAACAGGCAGGTGTTCAACTGAACTGACCACTCCTGCTGCGTTTGATGGTCTCCTCCTTCGCCATCCGTCCATCCATCCATCCATCCATCCATCCATCCATCCATCCATCCATCATCTTCTGCTTCAGGGTTGTGGTAGCAGCAGCTTTACCAGGGAGGCACAGACATCAACAGCCACCTCTTCAACTCTTCTAGGACCCCATGGTGTTCACAGGCCAACTGACTATTTATTAAGTAATATCCTGATGCATGCTCAATAATCCAGGTAGAACTACTAAACGTATTAGAAGAAGAACACCCTGAAGGTTTTGTCTCAAGGTGTTGCGGAAGAGATGTCATGCTCTAATGGAGTACCTCATGAGCTGTAACTTTTAAACCTGATTCATAATCCTACCTTACTGCCTTCCCTTCCTGCTTTAAACCCATGTGTTTTACATTTTAGTATAGATTTTTACGCTAAAGATGTATTAAAAATATCTTCACTTTTATTATTTGCAGATATGCACAAGGTTCATGTTAAAATTGCAAAACATCACACTGTGCTGTAATCTTTGAAACTGCTTTTACAATAAGCTACAGACTTGAAAACAATTAGATTAAATTTTGTCCTTAAATTTTAAAGATTTGTCTTTCATTAAATTTAAAAACATAAATTTATTACTTATTAATCTAAAAAAGTTAAGTCTGGTCCTCTGGACATTCAAAAAACAAAACAAACAAAAAACATTTATTGTTTATTATAAACTGTATTGTTTGTTTTGTGAACGTCTAGAGGATCAGACTAAACTTTTTAGATTTTTCTACCTGAATTATTGAGCAGCATCAGGATATTACTTAATAAATAGTCAGCTGGTCTGTGAACACCTTGGGGTCCTAGAAGAGTTGAAGAGGTGGATGTTGATGTCTGTGCCTCCCTGGTGAAGATGCTGCTCCCGCAACCCTGAAGCAGAAGATGATGGATGGATGAATGGATGGATGGACGGATGGATGGACGGACGGATGGATGGATGGACAGATGGCGAAGGAGGAGACCATCAAACACAGCAGGAGTGGTCAGTTCAGGTGAACTCCTGCCTGTTTGCTTCAGATCAGCTGTTCAAATCTCTGCAGGTTCAAATAAAAGGTGCACCAGGACTTTCAGCTGAATCTCTCAGGCCACAGTTGTATGGACGGTAAACGATAACAGTCTTTTCGACTGTTTTTGTCTCACTTCATCCTAGAACCAAAAAATGTATAACATAATAACAGCTGAGCAGATTCTGTTAATCTTTTCTTAGGATTCATTAAAGATCAAATGCAATTGGAAATTCTTCTCAACTTCCAGTATGAATTTAAACAAACACTATATGCACTTAACATTGTAAAATTTGTTTAGGAAATTTAATGTTCAAGGACACCACTTAAGAAAAAACATTGTTTAATAGGAAAAGTAAGAAGTGAAAAATGTAGAAAAATAAAAAATACTGAGTCCAACTAATGATTGTCTGTCTGTCCCTTGTCTCACGGGCTTCATCCAGAAGAAGACACAAGTGTTGTTCCTGCTGTGTCCGGTTCAGTTCTTCATGTTCATTCAGTGATGAAATAAGACCTTTCTTTACTGGACTCTTTTCTCTTTCTCTTGACTAGAAAGAAGAAAAAGGTGGTTAATTCAAGCTACATATTGTTTTTGAATAAATGCATAAAACAAAGAAAGGTGCAGCTAACAGCTATAATGATAATAATAAACTGATCAAATAAGAAAATGAAAAATAAACTGATTTAAAAATAATGAAAATAATATAATAATAACAATGGATATATGAATCAGAAAGTATTATACAGATGCAGATATTCTTTATTGTCATTCGCACCACATGTGGTCCATGTGGTGGATCAATATTATGTTCACAGGGTCCCAGTTACATCCAACGATAAAATGTAAAATAAAAACAGTAATAAGATCTAAGATATGAACTAAGAGAAACATCAACTAAAAATATGATAAGCTCTAATAGCATAAAAACATTAAACACAATACGCGAACAGCAGCACGGACATGAGTCTGTGTGAACAGACGAGCATGCATGAACACAGCAACATGAAACAGATCAGCAGCAACATGAAACAGATCAGCAGCAACATGACACAGATCAGTAGCAACATGAAA